GTGAGGTGGCACCAGACGTCTGCGTAAGCCATGCGGCAAGGGCTCCTTGAGCTTCTTTATTACACTTGGTGAGAAAATAGCTCTTTGCCCTGGAAAACGTTTCAGAAATATTGCACGTGAAATTTAAAATTTACTCTTTTGCCTAAAGAAAAATTGTCGCGCGTTTTTGTTGTTGCGTGGGCACTGCAGAAATGTGGCCCGGGCGACCGTGCAGCTCTTTTCATGAAAGCCCTGCTGTCGCATCTGCTGCAGCGAGGAGGAGCTGGAGTACAGCATGAAAGTCCTATCAGTGGGGCGGCTTGGATTGCTTGTGCTCGCGCTCTCGGGCTCCTTGACTGTGCTGGGACAGGGTCTCTACCGACGTGTGGCCTGAAGGAGAAAGAGGGATTTCTACTGTACCTGCAGCGTCACTCAGCTGAGCGATGACGTGCTGTGTACAACTGAATGCTCACGGGAGTCTTCAATAATGAGTCACACTCTAAGGACAAAGTTTTTCAATAGGAATAATATAGTGAATTCTATAGTTTCTAGTACCTGGCACATAATTTTAATAAATATTTGAGGTACGTGCCTTGTCAACTCTTATTTTGTAAATATGCTTTCCGTATCAGATTTTTTTTATGTCTGTATGCAAGCATTTGGTATAAAGTAAAACGCTGCTTTTTAATTTTTTTTTAAATGTATTTAGTACAGAGTCCACAGGCTCTCACTACGTAGATCTGACTCATAGTGGTTCCCCTGTTTTCAGCCTCCCAAGCGCAGGGATTACAGGCATGCACCACTGTGCCTAGTCTCTTACATTTTAATATTGCTGTGAGTCCCCTTGAGACCTACTAAGATGCAGGTTCCGACCTGGGTGGTCTGGGTTAGCTAGAACCTGCATTTCTGAAGAGATTTCAGGGTATTACTGATATTAGTGCAAGGACTACATTTTAAACAACGAACATATAAAACAAACACATGGAGTAATGTTCTTTGAGCCCCATAACTGTAATTCTTGCATACTATACTATACTATGTCTCCAATCTGTGAACATCCGAGTTGTGAACTCTGACGGCTATACCATGTAACACTCTCCCTATCAGGTCACAAATGTGTGTATAACACCTACTTATATGTGTTACAAACTTACTGTATGTATAAGCTGCATACAGTTTGTCTTGTTTTCTTCATTTTTGTTGTTCTGAAGACTATGAAGCTATAGTGTAGAAACTACAGACAATGGAAAGAACCATGGCTGGCATAATACAGACATAAATATATATATAATTATAAAGTTGATTAATTTTATATAAACTATTTGTTAGCAATTCACTTTGTATGAACTCTGTTCATACCACTGAACAATTTGTAGATAAATTTTATTGAATAAAATGCATAATTCAAGAAGTACCCCTTTCTATTTGATGAGTCCCTTATCCTTAAAGATTTGTTCAGTTTGTTTACAGTCTACTACTAGTGTAAAAGTATTTGGTTCCGTATCATTACATGTGCCTCTCTGTTAATTTGAACTTTCAAAGAAGACATAGAAGTTTTGGATACTGATGCTTGTGGCCGATTTGCCTTCTAGGAAAGCTCTTCCACTTGTCACTTAGGTACAGAGTGTGTTAGTCTTAGTGGCATCTCTGCAGGTCAGGAAGCGGTGGGGCTGACGCTGTGTCTCTCTGTCGGCAGGCCCTCCAGCAGGCGCTACAGGTATGACCACAGCTTTGTGAAGGCCATCAATGCTGCCCAGAAGTCCTGGACTGCAACTGCGTACATGGAATATGAGGCCTTCACCTTGAAGGAGATGAAGCGAAGACGTGGTGGCCACAGCCGGATCCTCCCGCGGTAAGAAGACACATCTATTTCTCACTAGGAAAGATGCTGGTGTTGAGCCCAGTTCTCCCCAGGGAGCCCACTACTTTAGTGGGTGTAAGCACTTTTTATTTACGATCTCTCTCCCATTTGTACTCTTCCTGTTACGATTTCCAAGTCCTGTTCTGGGGTTTTCTGTGCATCGCGTGTGTCGTGCCCGTCCCATTTTCCATAGTCTGGCATAGGCCTTGTTGTCTCTGCCCTAGTGCAGAGTGGCGTCCTACCACCTGTGTCACTATCTTTGCTCCTTCTGCTGCCTGTCATTATTTTCACCAGTCTATAAAATGATCTTACTCTATTTATCTAGGACTATTGATGTCTATTTACTGAGGAATATATGTGTTCAGATATTTAAAGTCATCATAATGAGTGTAACTGTATCTACTGCCTTGACCTGTTTTCAAACAATGTGACACATTATTTATGAAAACTTTGTTTGCATTTTACCTCACTGCTCTGCTCCTTGTCCACCCTCACTTTGCCACATTATGAACTGCCAAACTGGACACTTGTAGATATCTGAAGTCTCAGTGCGGTAAGGCCCAGCAGCAAAATAAAACAACTCCCAAAACGCTTCATTGATTAATGCCCATCCAATCCCCTCTGCTGTCAGTGGTGTTCCCATCTTGAGCTCACATACCTCATTGTGCATTTCTTCTTCTGAGGAATTATGTCATAACATTTTGAATTTGTCTGGGTAGGAGTTTGTATGAATTTAAGAACTGTTTTTAAAAATCATGACTAGATCAGCAAAGGATTTGTACAAAGTCCTGTAGCATTCGTTTAGTGGCCAAGGATGTTCCTATAATACCATAACTTGTTTCAGGAAAAGGTGGAAACAGGAGTAAGGAAAGAGAATTGAAATGGTAGGGAGCAAAGGAGGGTCAATAATTTATGTGAGTAGCTTACTTTACCTTTCTATGTTGAGATATTATTTAGTTCTCAGCAAACGGAATGGTTAATTCCCTAGAAACTGAGTCTGTGGCTAAATGGTTATTAACAAAGCAGACTACTGATTGGTTACTCATATAACTAGAACACATTAGCAGCCTTGAATCTGCAGACTATGGAGTTATTTGTTATCTAACTAAGAATATCTTCACATGTGTTTGCCTTTCATAAAATAATTTTCTGTGATATTTCTTCAGGCATATTCTAGCAAATATCTACTGCAGAAATGCTCTAGCTACTAAAATTTGAGAAGGCGAGCATGTCAGAGCCCCCTCTGGATGCGCTGAGTGGAGTCCTAACGTGTCTGTTGAAGTAGGCCTTTGAGACCTAACCGACAGCCTGCACCCGAAGGAGCCTCTAGAGGCCAGCACATCGTGTTGTATTGCTGTTTCACTCTAGGAGGCTAGCTTCTCCTTGGAAGAGCGGAGCCTTCCACTCTGCACCTTTACCATGGGCCACTTAAGTGCTTCGTTGGGCTCTCCGTCCTCTCCACTGCCTTTGTTTTGAAGAAGGGTTAGTGTTGTGAAGGGCCGCTTTTACTATGAAAGTTCCATAGAAACTTTAAAACACAATCAAGTGACAAAGGACATATTTATAGTACAATCTGGTTGCCAGATTTTCAGTAGCATTGAGGTATCTATATTTGTTCTGTTGCAAAATCCTGTGTTGTAACGAGAGCTCTCAAAGATTCTTTTTGTTTCAGTTTGCATTTTTTTGATCTCAGGTTTAAGGGCCTTTGAATCTGCTCAGATTGTAGACAAAGTTTATTGTCAGCATCTTCGCATATCCAGAATTTTTACCAGATTCTTAAAGAATCTAGAGATAAAATACAAAGAGCAAGCAATGTATAGTTTTCTTAAAAATATGTTCGTTCTCCCTTCAGTATCCTGTAAGCTCTCTTAATTTCTTCTCTCTCACCGCAGTTAGCCTTCCTTCTCAGCTGCGCTTTGTTTTCTTGGCTTTTTCCTTTTGGCATGTGTGTATTAATGATCATATCTATTACGGTATTGTCTGCGCTGTGTGAGTGCTAACGTTATCTTCCCTGGGGACCAAGGCTGCCTGTGTCATAGAATTTCAGACAAATGTCCTCAGCTTATTTAATATTTCAGGGAATAATTGTTTCTTTACACAGTACATCTATTCCATACACTTATAAAGATTGTGCTCCTCGTGAATTCATTTGGGGTCTATTTGTTGGCTTTATCTCACACTGTTTTATAATTTCAACATGTGTCACCTCTGTGGGAGAGGGCATCACTGGGCAGGCAGTCAGTGCAGAGGGCCTGAGGTAAACCAGGAGAAACCTTTGCTGTTGACTAAAGTGGAGCCTGGTGACACACACTGAGTAACTCGTGGAAAAATGGAATGGTGAGACATGCCAGTAGTAAGTAAAGTAAGAAATGCAAATAGTTTACAGGGACAAAAATGAATGCATTTTGCCACAACATAAAACTAGTGGCCTAAGGGCTGGCCAAATAGCTCAGCAGATTAAAGTGCCTACAAGCAGGTGCAGAGGTCAGGGGTTCAATTCCTGGGTCTACCCTGCTGGTGCCAGCCCCACCCCTGGGACATGCTGAGACTGCACTTGAGACTAGGCGGGGTGGTGCATGCCTGCAATTCCAGCTCTTGGGAGGCTGTAAAAAGCCTGTCACTATGAGTCTGGTCTAGTAGTGAGACCCTGAACACCCTTCACACCCTTCCCTAAAATGAAAAAATAAATAGATAAATAAAATATTTCTAATGAATGAATTGAAAGAAGAAAAAGAGAGAGAGATGTGAGGGAGGGAGGAAGAGAGACAAAGTGAGTTTTCTGTGGGTGCTGGTTGGTCAAGGCTGCTTCCTAAGTAGTTTTTAAAATTAGAAGTCGCAGAAAACTTTGAGCATGCTAGCTGAGGACATCAGGGAGTTCAGATGAAAGAGCAGATGCGCAGAGGTGCAGCCTGCTGGCGTGGGCTGACGCGGAAAGATGTCCAGAGCTAGAGTGCTGTGCTCTTGTGGATGCTCCTGCACATGACATTGGGCACATGGGGTGTGTGTGTGTGTGTGTGTGTGTGTGTGGACGTGTGCACCTTATGCACAAATGCACAGTTGCTTGTAGAGCTAGAGTGCTGTGCTCTTGTGGATGCTCCTGCACATGACATTGGGCACATGGGGTGTGTGTGTGTGTGTGTGTGGACGTGTGCACCTTGTGCACAAATGCAGTTGCTTGTAGAATAACCTTTGCATTTGCAGAAGTCGTGCCCTCGTCCCATGAGCCCAGCCAACCCTCCTCTGTGTGTCTTGCCTTCTGCCATGCCCTACAGCACCTCACTCTCTAATGAAGGAGCAATTTTAGCTGTCGTTTGTGGCGTGAGCCTGCCTGCCTTATCCTGTGACCTTTGCTTTCCTTTGTCAGCTTGGCTTTTATAACCAACCCACTGTCTTCTGAGTCACATTTGTGCAAGTAAGTCCTACATATTCTCTGTCCTCTTTTATGTGCTATTTGCAAATCCTCCTATCTTCTTTCTTGGTCAAAATCTGCCAAGAGCAAATACGAAAGTGCAGCTACTCAGGCACTTGGCAAGATCCATCACAGTGCTAAACGAAGTCAGTGTGATTTGAAAGGAAAGGCGACTGGATGCTGGAAAAGGAATGCTTAATGGAAACTATTGCTGTGTAATAAACACTGTGTTAGTTACTTTGCTC